CGGGCGGCAGCTACCCGCAGAAAAACGCCGAGATCCTCAGCAGCCAGTACGGCATCAACCTCTTCCTGGCCGGGCTGCTGCTCACCTTCGCCTGGGCCGTGCACGCCGTGGGCATCAGCAAGAGCCACCTGCTCTCCTACCTGATCACGCTGATGCTCATCCAGCTGCTGTGGATGCTGTGGTACCTCTGCAGGAGCTGCACGCAGAGGAGGCTGATCCGGGACAAGGACACGCACGCCGGAGCCCGCTGGCTGAGGTGTAAGTACTGGCTGGTGGCACCACGCGCGGGACGTCCGTGCTGTCGCCCGTCTCTGGTGCCGTTGGCTTACCCTCTCCATCCCTACCAGGAGGCACCCTGGTATGCCTGAATTTAACGCACACGCTCTAAAGTAAATATATGCCTAAGCTGAATGTGCTAGGAGATTGTGTGGGGAAGCTGTTTGCTGAACATCCTCACCTTCCAGCCTACCATTTACAGTGCTGAAAGCTCCAGCGCCTTTTTTCCCGTACCAGGCTGGCTTGGCATCACTTGAAAAATAAAATATAGCTAATGGAAGAGGCAGTTATGTTGCTATCATGCAATTCTCTTGGAGGAATTACCACTTTTTCCAAGCAATATAATGCAACTTACTTTAGGCTAGTACCAGTTAGAAAGGTCCTCATGTGCTCTCTAACCAATGTATATCTGAGATTCCCATTTATATGTATACCATGATGCCTTAGAAACATCTGGAGTTAGACAGATGAGGACAAAACCCCTGGCCAGATCAGTTTGTAGATGAGCACGTAAAACATCTAAGCAAGGAACCTAAAGCTAGCATTAGCTTGCAGGAAAAGTATACAAGTTGGCAAGCATAGCGGTGGGATGTGATATCCCTTATTTCATCTTATTTCCTTATTATGTTGCGTACTGGGGTGGGGATATAAAGGTTTACTGAGAGAAGGTGGTGGGGGGAGCAAGTCACAGAGTCACGGTGACGGGAATGCTGCGATTCTGGGTCCCGAGAAAAAGCAACAACCCGCATCCACCGTGTAGAGTCATAGGCAAGCCCAGTTTTGCCGACCACTTTTCCAGTCTCGACACTGTAAATGATAGGTTGGAAAGTAAGTATGTAAAGTGGAATGTTATAAGACAGCTTTTCCATAAGATATTTCTGTCTTGCTAGCAGTGAGACAACAGTTAATTACAACAGCAGCAGCTAATGAAATACCTACAGGAAAATCCCAAGAACATCTAAAACCTGATTATTTTGAAAAGTAAGGTTGTGTTGTGGAAGTTTAGTTTGTTCTGAGGGCTTAACTCTCTTCTGTTTTTCTTTGCAGCTGCTAACAATGATGCTGTATAAATTGCTCAGGGAAAATATTTTTTTTAATGTCTAACATTTTACAGCCACAGTCTGCAGACTGTTTCCTGAAATGTATGCAGTTCATGTACCAACTGTTGAGTTGTTCTCCTTGATTATTCAATGTTTGCCAAAACAATATTCAGCTCTCGGGCTTTTTTCATATATTAGCTTATGTGGCTTACAACCTCCTGCAATTCATTAATGCAAGGCTTAATTTGATCCTGTTTTGGACCAAGCTATGCTTTTGTTACTTGAAGGGTAGCTTTCTTCTCCTAAGTATGGAATAAATACGGCTTAACATGGGTAAGTACACCAGGACCCCCTGCCCTTTTTCTTTTGGCGCAGTGATCACAGCATTTCATTTGTCCTACAGGATATAAGGAGTCACAGAAACTTAGGAATAAGATACTGGAATGAACTACTAGGTTACCTTCTCCATTTCTTTTACCAGCACAGGATGGCCCTTTGTACTAGCTTCTCAAGCGGTGCGGCTTCCACGGCTTCTCTTGGTTGTCTAGGCTGCAATTCAACAACTTCGCCCTTAGGGAAGGCCCTACACTTTCCTATTCTTAGGAGTTTCTTGTAGTTACAACAAGCCTGTAGAAGTTCTTTATACTCTGTTGGTAAAAGAAAACTTATCTGAGCAAAGGAAAATCTCAGGTGGCAACCCCTCTGCCAAGATCTCCCTTGCCCTCCTCCGCATCAATGGTTCTGTCGTATACATCTTCTATCTGAAAGACTGGAAGTCTGAAAAGGAGGAAGACAAATCTTCATCCAGTCTTTCCACAGAAAGCTCTCTGCAATTTTTGACTAGCTCCATCAGCTGTTTTTGAAGAATATCTCCTTACTCTCATCGTTAGAGAGATGTCCATGGACTAACCAGTAGAAAATGAGTATATTTTCATCATTCCCTTCAAACTGTGAATATAATTTTAGTGAAAGTGGTGGTAGCGGTCTACTTAGAGCATTTTGCTCTGACAAATGTTGAAAAAGAGTGACTTAACGCAAACTTCCTGTAACTGAGTCCTTGCACAGGGTGAACAATGCTAGAAGGACAGCTAGTTCACAAGAATTGTGCACAGAAAGCTTGCCTTGAGCATTTTTGCAGCTGTGTGAGCCCTAGGGCACAGCTGTCTTCCCACTTCTGTGGTAGACCAAAGAACCGCTCTTATGGTGTGAATGTGGGACAAGTTTCAAGGAGAGCTTTGTCTTTAGTGAGGTACAATTATCCTGACCCAAATAACCATAGGGATGCTTAGGAAGTCCTTTCCTTAACTTACTCCAAATGTTATTCCCCTGAGTACACTCTCCTGTTAGGAAAAGGTCTCCGACCATTATTTGGAGGTTCAACCAAGTGAGGCAGAGAACTCCAAAGAAAATCAATTGACTTCACAAATGTCTTCATTTTATTATGTTCTCCAGCAGCAAAGCTTCTGTTTAAAGGATGAACAGCTAGTCAGCTTGCAAAGCTCTTGGCAGACTTCATACACTGTGTATGCTTGCAGTGCGGTCACCTGAGCGATTGCCAGAAACATTTAGATTATCATTTGAATAAGTGAAATAATTGAACATTAAAAGAAATGAACCTTATAAAATCTTCGAATCTCTGGAGGACAATGGCAAAACTATTGATTTCTGTGGGAACAGACTGAGGCCCATGAAATCTCTGATGAAAGTAAAGGAAACAAGAAGGGAGATACTAAGGCATAAATCAAAATGCTTGATGTGAAAGAAACTTTGTGGGGCTTTTTTTGTTGGTTGGGGTTTTTTTTGTGTCCTCACCCCCTCCCCCCCACCCCAGTGGCCTGCTGGACATTGATGTGAAAGTGTAAAACTACGCAGCTGAAACAGTGACCTTGTGAAATGCAAGCAAGACCCAGTGGAACTACAATACAGGTCATCCCTGAAAAGGCAAGGTGCACGTATGGTGCAGGATACAGATCAATAATCTAAGACGCATTTTCGTTTTATTTTAGTGAATTTAAACCTGAGCCCCTTGCTTTGCCTTGCCTTGCCTTCGCTCTTCCAGTTTCCTCTAGTTGACAACTCCCTTATGGTCCTATTCTGCTGAGCCACACTCATGAGTAAGGGAACCAAGGATGCAGAACTTTTACATTATAAATTACATTTCCACTCATTTTGCTCTGACATTACTACTTCACTAAAGCAATTCCTCAGGGCTTGATCACGCACCATGAATTAATTGGAAAAGTACCTTACTGGTTTCATGAATGGGGAAAGAAAGACCTTTCTAAAATTCTCTGTGAAGTTAACATAGGCATAACAATTCACTGTAGAGTAGGTGTGGAAGATTTTTATAATCTTTTTGCTTCAGGAGATAGCATTTTCCTTGTTATTGAAACACAATACACAGTAAGTCATCTTTGACATCTTTCAGAGAACGAGTGAAACAGGCTGAGTTTCCTGCATACTTTCTAAATAAACCATGGATCGCAGAACCAATCAGAGAATAATTTGGGTAGGAAGGGACTTCTGGAGGTCATCTAGTCCAACACCGTGCTGACAGGAGGTCAAATTACCTCAGGTAATTTCAGAAGAACTAACAATTCTGTTTTATTTTAGAATTATTGAAAAGATTTAAATAAAGAAGGAAACATATCACTCGATCTCAAGAGTAGCCTAGAATTTTGAATTTTGTGATGCCATTTACATTTATACGTAATGAAGATGGCATACCTATTTAAATGTGGGCTCCAGTCCTCTCACATGTGTTAGAAATAACACAAATTAGCTGACATAATAAACATAAATAAAAAGATGTACAGGATTATACACATCCATGAAATACAAAGCAGATGTTTTAGTTTTTGAAATATGAGGGCGAAAGTTGAGGGGGAAGCAAACTGTCTGTGGTTAAAAAATTTTCTGAAATATTTTTTTTGTTTAATTTTAAAGCATCAGTGAAATAATAAACAAAAATACACTGTATTTTTATAATTTATACTTTATTTTTAACAACACAGCTTTTATAATAAATGTAATATTACTTAAATATACTATTAAATTAGCTTTATTTTATTAACAGAAGTCAGTTGGAACATGTGGTGCTTATAAGGGAGTTAGGTGGGCCCTTATAAAAGATAAACATTCATCAAAGTCAACACTAGTGATATTTGCTCCGTGAGGAATTACAAAGCAAGATGAAGATACTGATGCTGATCTATATCTTATGGTCTAGTTAAGGTCCATGGATAGATTTTTATCTAGTCCTAATTCAGATAAACCCAAACTAAATCCAGTGGTAACTTGCTTGAATAACAGCCTAGAGAGCAAAAAACCAAAGCAAATGAAGACTGTAGAGTTTGGTTCAATAATTTTATTTCCAGTTGTGCTTAGTCATACAGGTATAAACCCAATAATTAATAATATATGTTGTGTTACCATATAGCTTTCCAGACTAGGTTTGTAGCAAACATTTATATTCCTGAAAGGAAAATAAAAAATTAAAGAAGGGGAAACATGGTATTTGAAAGTCCTTTAGGATACAAATACATATTTAGAGAAACATATTAAGGCTTTTTTGTGTGTGTGTGTGTGAAAATAATGGATACTGAAATTAAATCTTTGGTTCCTTTCTAGGAAAACAAACCCTGCAGCTCATCTCTGAGTCCAAGCGTGACCTCATGAAGCCGTGGAAGGGATACCGAGTGATTGTGTTACTTCCCACTGCCGAGCTCTTGGACCTGGAGACTGTAACATGATTGTTCAGCTCCCTGGAATTGTATAGTTTGCTGTGTGGCTGTGCAGAGCATTAATTCATGTACTGTATAGCCATTTCAGTGCTACCGTTACTTGAGAGGCTGACCTTGCAAGGAGCCGTCCGCACGGTGCCGAGCATCTCCGGGTCCCAGCCACTGCTGGGCTGGCTCCTCCGCACTGACCGGGCAAGGCGTGTATGGGGATGTCCTTTACCAGTACATGGGGCAGAGACTTTCACAAATTAGAAGGACTTACTGCATAGAGTCAATTATCTTCATGAACATCGGTTTACTTTTATTTCCCTAAACAGGAACACGGATATTCGTCAACTTATATTTCCCTAAGCAGATTTTAGCATAGTGGTACAAATCGTCTCTAGACACTATAACTGTACACTGATGTTTTCTAATATCTTTTTCATTTGTAGGTGGGATTACATTATTTGCAGTGATTACTTTAATTCTGGACTCTTTTAAAATGGGATATTATATTGATTTTTCAAACTGCTTATCACCTACTGAAGGCATTTTTCCTGTTACACATGCTGTGCACACCATCTTACAGGTAAAAGTCACTGGCTGCAGTTTTGTTATATCTGCATTTTTTACTAAATATATCTTTCATCTTCTCACAATCAGAGAATTTTACACTAATTTAATTTCTAAGCATATCACAGGATACTTTTGAGGGCTAAATTCTTGTGCAGGTATATCATTTTTATGTGAAAATTCAGGCTTTGCGGACTGAAATTGCTCAGCCGTAAGACTCATGTGGGTTCAGAAAACCTAAGATGAAGCTTCTCATGTCCTTGAAACACAGGATGAAATTACAGCAGACAGCATTCCTAATTATGTGTCATCTAAAAACCTAAGGATTTGTTTTCTACAGAATATGTGTCAGATTCTGTTGTATTTTACTCTAACGAAGCATCCTCATATGTGCCATTAAATTAATAAATATATACATACTGCACCTGTGTGAGCAATGAACTAACAGGTAGCTGCCCTTCCAAGACAGGCTGTGCATTATGCTCTTTCACAGGCAGAAGTGCCTTTGGGGCAACGAGTACTCTGTGAGCAAAAATTGGATTTTATGCTATTTCTTTAACTTACTGACTTTTCTCTTCCTATTCCCCCCACTTTCTTGACTCTAGTGTCTGAATAGATCTTCAAAACTTATGATTTTTTAAGTTTTGAAGAATACTTTCACATCTGCTGCTATATTTTACTGCATCTATCCCAGAATGGAATATTGAACATGGCATTAGATGAGACTAAGGTGCTAATTTAAATTTGTTTGATTGAATTTGAAACCTCCCTGATATCTTGTAGTATCTACACCTGGGGTTTTGCAGTGGCCACACCTCCCTATGATAAACACTTCATTAGAGGGATGAGTGAACATGTTATTGCTGGGCGGTGTAGGCGACCCGCAAAGAACTGCATTTTCCTCGTTTATTAAAAAATCAGATACTGAGTGTCTCGGACACCACCAGCTATGGTGTAGGGTACCCACCTTAATAGGCACAGTGGTAAAATGGACTTCCACTTACTGTAATTGCTGAAGAAGAACCCAGAGTTCTTTGCACTTTTCAGACCGTTTATGGAACATCAAACCAGACAGGTTTCTAAGAGAAATCTTTGGGAGCATTTCTCTCCTGACAGTTCACCTACTGTCAAGTTCAGTATCCTAGGAGCTATTCTGAGTAAACAGGACTCCTGGTTTCATGCTAACATGCCTGAGGATATTGATATCATTCTACTTGCACTTACCAGCACTTGGAACTGGTTTTGTATCAGCAAGAATCTGTATCCTGAGGTTTCCATTATCCTCCCACAAACAGAGATGCCCACTTTTAAATACTTCTTTCCCCTTTACTTGCTAACTCAACACTGTTATCTGTCTTATTCTCCAGCTTGTGCTTTCTGCACCATACTTGAGTTCAACTGCATGTGTTCCTAATGCGCTTGTCCCTCAGGCTGAAGGTACAACCTTGTCTCTTGCTTTCTGAGTGTCTGTTGTTGGTTTTATTAATCAAGTCTGGCATCCTTTCACTTAGCTCTCTCCCTCCCTGGAATTTCATAAATTTAATAAATTATTCAAACTTCACATCACCACGGCCTGCAGCAGTCATACTGCTGTCCACAGCTGGTAGTTTTATTTCCTTTGAAATAAAAGTCTCTCCAGATACAGCCACGAGATATGTTTTGGTGAGTCATACAGAGACTTTCTACTGCTGAGCCACTGCCTCTGCGTATAAGAAATCTTAGGTTCATCACGCCAGAGAGGTTCTGGATGAGCATCAGAGCAGATCGTAAGTTGTTTCACATGGGTGGAGATGGAGTTACCCCAGTTTAAATCATCAGAATTTCCATCTGCAGATGCACTTTCCTTTTTGAGTGTCACACATGCTTATTAGTGTAATGATGTTTCTCTGTATTCCTTTCATTTAGGTGTACTTTCTTTGGTGCCATGCAAAGGATATTATCCAGTCTTTCAAAACACTTGAAAGGTAAAGTGGATGTGATCCTCATCTGGAATGCTAATAGGTGTAGGTCTACAAGTGCTTTAACCTACAGGTTTACTGTTTGAGGGGCACTGAAAACTTACAGAGTTTGATTCTCCTCTTAATTGTGTTAATATAAATAAAAAGTAACATCGTTTACCCAAGTAAGAAGATAATCATTAGTCTGAATTATTGTTTTCTCATTTAAACTATGCTTATATTTTATAATTTTCAACAGTCACAGAATAAGTATATTTTTAACATGAGAGGTATGATACCGCAGTGTCACTTCTTTTTTTGAAGGAAGGAAGCCCCATGTATATGTCTTAGGACTGTGTACTATGTTGTGTTTTCTTTATTTAGCTACTGAAAGGGAATCTGTGTTAGCAACGTGCAGTCGGTACAATATACCTGCAGTATTTTATATTGATTTTTATGGAAAGCACCTTTTGCAGCTAGATGCAGACATGCAAATTCTCTGGGAAATATAATATCCCATATACCCAAATCAGTAAGAGTTGTGCACATTTCTGACACCAGAACTTGGTTCTGGCAGCTTAACTGATGTGCCCTCTGAACACCTGAACACACACATTTCTCATAGAACTGAGGGCTGGTCTTTGAGGCAGCAGAGCCAGTTCTGATGTATTTTTGGTTTTGTGAGAAGGTGAATTAATGTAGATTATCTGTACATAGAAGGTAAATAAACAAACATGGTGACTTAAAGGACTCAAATTATCAATGAGCTGACCAGTTTCTATAGGAAGTAAAACACATTTACTCCGAAACATCATTTATGGAGAAGGTTCTCGTTTTGTTTTGCTCTCTTGGGCAAGTGTTCAAGCCTCACATCAATGAGGAGAGAGATCACAGAAGGCTTTGCAGTGTCAGCTGGTGAAATCAGGTCTGTTTATAAGCAGAATTTAAAAAATGCCTAACTGCAAGTCTGTCAGTGAGAACGGTGCAGTAATGAAGAACTGTTTCTTGGTGAAGGAATATTACCAGACTCAGGTGCAGGAGAAAAATGCCTGGCTTGTCAGAAACCAGAGGTCTCAAAAACACGTGGAGACCTGCCCTCACTGTACCAGTAGTCTGAATGGGATAAAGCCCTCTGTTGGCTTCAGCTCTCTCCAGGAGACAAAAATGCATGGACTAGAAGTTAGAGAATGTGGTGGCATCTGTGAAGAAAGACCAGCCACAATGAGTCAGAAGGAGCCCCGCAGAAGGCTGTGAAATGCAGTTTGCAAAACGATTAAATGAGCATAACAAATAACAACAGTATGCTATTAATAGTTGTTAATGCTATTAAGCATTAAACAATGGTTATTAATGCTATTAAGCCATCATGATTCTGTAAAACTTTTGAAGTCTAACACCCGTTGTGCTCCACTGAGGAACATCTTTAGAGAGATCGGTTATGATTTTATTTTCCCTGCGGAGACAACTAAATAGTGCCACGTTGCATGTCTACAGAAAGCTAATCCATTTTATTTAACATATATGGAGGTATATACTCTGTTCAGATTCCTTCAATAATTACTTTATGTTGTAGGTTTGGAGTTATCCATTCTGTGTTCACAAATTTACTCCTGTGGACAAACGGAGTGCTGACCGAGTCAAAACATCAACTGAATGAACATAAGGAAAGGCTAATCACGCTTGGTTTTGGGAACATAACAATAGGTAAGCAAACGGGTGGGTACCTTTTGAAATTCCTTCTGTAACACGCTCTTATACAAGATACTGCACCTCTGTAGGACAGAGGTGGGTCATTCAGGGCTACTCAGTCATTCTAGAGCACATGGCAGTGAGCTGACACATAATCAGGTCACAACTAAAATGTTGTATGGTCATTGTCGTTATCATGTATGGGATTCAGGCCATAGTTTTCTGTTTACTCACCTCCCCTTTGGATGAGATCCAGAGAAAAATAAATGTTGGAAGTTCCGAACAAACATATTTAAAAAAACATTTTGTTTGAGGAGTAACATCACTGAGGAACCCCTTTGTTAGTAAATCTTAGAAGTAAATTGAACATAGCAGTGTTAAAAACAGAGTTTGCTATTTTGTAAGTTGTTTGTAGCAAAACAAGCATGGATAATCCTGCAGATCCTTCCCAGGAGGATGGTTACAGGTGGTGTGTGGTCCTATGGGATTCAGTGGAATGGCTCAGAGGGATGGGGGTTATCCATTAGTGTTGCTTTACAAGACAAGGATTTTGCTCTGGGTGGTTCTTTTTTTATAATGAACCATTTTCTCCATTGGTAAGATGATGCAAGTTATAGTCAACAAACATTGAGTATAACTGCTGGGGATGCCTTCTGCTTTCAAGCGCCACTGAAGCATGGGGAAATTAGGAGTGCTTAACTTTAAAGAGGAAATAAAAGTTCTCAGTAGCTGTAAGTAATTATCTTCCCATGCAAATTTGTCGGTACAGCTCGTAAGTTTTGATTGTGTTTATGAGGGAAAAGACAGACAGCTTTTGAAGAGGAAAATGTATGTTTTCCCACCCAGTGAATTCAATAGTGCCTGTATCCAGAAAACTCCTGATTTTGCATCTACAAAGCCAAAGCCTGAACTGATTTCTTTTTTTGCCTATTTATAGTTTATATAAATTTAAAAATGTTAGACATTTTTAATTCCTGTCAAAGCTCCCATAGAAGTGAAAACTTCATTTTAAAATTTGTAAAATAGCATTTTCAGTATAACTGTGTCTAAAATTATGCCCCAAATTTTACATCTATTTGCAACTGTTACCTTTTAGATGTATCTATGGAAACTGTCTAGTTTCCATTAATAATGAGGTAGCTGAATTGATAGTTCAGAGATTTTGTAATCATGGAGCGTTAGTAGAGGGTAGGCAAATTACAAGTTAGTGGCTCTTCTTCATGTTTCTACTTGTCAAATAGAAGCAGTTTCTTTGTATTATTTCCTATTATTCTGCTGCCAGAATTGTTACACAATTATGAATAGTCAGAAATAGCATCTGAAACAGGGGGCAGTGAAGTCGTGATCCCCAAGACAAGTTTGGCATTAACATTCAATCCACTGCAAGAGCAATTTTTTTTCTTCTTTTAACAGTTTGTGATTGAGACAAAAAAATACCAACTTTCTTCTCTCCTCTTCTCTTCTAAAATTGTGGAAAACAAAAGAAAAAACTTCCAGGCACATATCTAAGATCAGCACCTAAAAATGTGCTCTTCAGCATGTATGTTTATATATTTATAAATAAACACATTGTAAAAATAAGGATCTTTTTTTTCTGCCACCGTGGAAATTTCTGATTTCTGAAATTATTTGCTTAGGTTATAAATGCACATTAAATAGATTTATCTTACAAATATGAGCAATTGCTCATTGAGATGCCTTAGGAGGTTACAATGCAGGTAACTGCACTGCAGAGAGAGAATGATTTCATAGGTTCCTCTCAAAAGGAGAAGATTGATTTTAAATATTTTTTAACCTTAAAACTATACTGGGACATTGAGTGAAAGTATCTGTAGTTTACCTCTTTCCTAGACATAAACAGCTTTTTAATAGTTTTGGTATCAGAAACCACACTAGTGTAAACAACTGATAAAAATGAGAGTAGAACTGAGTTCTTTCCTTGTTAAGCTTGTTCTTGATCTGATCCACAGATCCCCAGGCTTCTATAAAACCCTCCTAAGCCGAGTGGCTGAGGCCTCAAAGCCCTTGGAATCTTGGATATTCACATTATAAAGAAGTATTTTTACCAAGACCATGCAGAAGTTGAGTGCATTTTGGTGCAGCATTTGTTCATGATGTGATTATTGCTCAGCAGCTGAGCAGCGAAGTCAGAGATCATGCTTCAGTGCATGGGCAAAAGCTTTGTTAGGTTAATGACTTCACCGATGAGACTGTTTCGTAGGTGGCTAACTGGTGGCATGATGTGTTGTTTGACTGAAACCTTACCTTTCATGTTTTATTATTTTATTTATGGTTTATTTATTCACTTTAAACAAGAAATCCTTCTAATGCACATAACTAATCTCTCCCTCTCCTTTAGTTTTAGATGATCATGCACCTCAATGCAATTGCACAACAACAACTCTCTGTTCAATATTTTCTCAAGGAATATATTATCTATACCCCTTTAATATAGAGTACCACATCCTAGCATCCACGATGCTCTATGTCCTGTGGAAGAACATTGGCCGCAAAGTCGAGCACCACCAGCAACACAAAACTCCATTCAAATTCCATGGCATAACTGTTGGAATGATTTTTGGACTAATCGTGTTAACTAGCACCATAGCCATAGTTGTTGTGTATTTAATTCAGATTGGACGTTCAAAAATCAAAAGCGAGTTAGCACTTACCATGTTTTACTTGCATGCGATCTTTGTGTTGGCTCTCATGTGTACAGCTGGAATTGTTGCCCTGCTCATCTACAGACTGGAAGATAGATCGTTAGATAATTCAAAAAATCCTGCTCGAAAACTTGATGCGGAGCTGCTGGTGGGCACAGCTGCAGGGTCTTGGCTCCTCTCCTGGGGCTCGATCCTCGCCATTATCTGTGCCCAGGCTCATCCAAAATACACGTGGTATAACCTGCCCTACTCCGTCCTGGTTATCATTGAGAAATATATTCAGAACCTCTTTATCATTGAATCCGTACATCGTGAGCAGGAAAAGGTGAACGACAACATTAAAACTCTTCGCATAGTGACTATATCTCGGGGGAGCACTTTGTCACTTGCCCCCTCATACAAAGAGATTTACAATGGCAGAGCCGCTCGTGACAGCGGAGAGGTGCCCTGCCTGTTTAAGGGCAGTGTCTGCAGGAGAGAAAATGATGGTCATGGCAGTGCCAAAGAAGAAATGAATCAGGAAAATAATTCAGTCATACATTCAGCCTCAGATTTCTCATTTTACAGTAGAACCTCAGTTACTAGCAGCAAGAGGAGAGTTCTGAAGAACATTGCTGTGTTTTTATTCCTATGCAATCTTTCGGTAAGACATTTTGAACATAATTCACAAGTTAATATCCAAAAGTTTCCCAGCCTTTCAAGCCTGATAAGTGTATTAAAATTACATGGTTCTGTGGTTTGTAGGAAGTAAATTTTACTTCTTCTGGAAGAATAAGTGAATGTGCCTTTGGGGAATGAAATTTATTTAATCATGAAATCTGGGAGCCGAGGCTTGTTTTAGTCACAGTACAAAAACTGTAGCAGCAGCAGAAAGCTGAAACTCTCTTCCACCAGTGTGCCCCAGTAGCAACAGGGAGGGTTTTCCTAGGGATTTCTGAAACCAAATTGCAGTTTGGTGGGGTCCCGGTCATTAAGGGCTCGTCCCTCATATCGCTGGTGATTAATGCTGGCCTTGCGTTCTTTTCTTGCAGCTTTGGATACCACCGGCATTCGGGTGCCGCCCGGAATATGACAATGGACTAGAAGAAATAGTTTTTGGCTTTGAACCCTGGATAATTGTTGTGAACCTTGCAATGCCTTTTTCTATTTTCTACCGGATGCATTCAGCTGCCTCACTTTTTGAGGTCAATTGTAAAACATAGGTCATACACGGTCATTCAGTGAACAATTGATTGAATAATTAATCAAACAAATAACAACTGAATGAGTGGATGAATGAATGAGTGAATATAGCCACAGCTGCTCAATAAATAGAAGATTCAATAATTTTTTTTAAAAAGAAGGGACCATAGCTAATAGCATGTAATTTTTTAAAATTTTTCTTACACATATTTTTGTATATATGTGGTGTTATTGTATAGGTACACTTTTCAGAATCATATTAGTGTTAATATGATTAGCACTACATAGTAAAAATTCGATTTCATTAATCTTTGTTTTAGTCATCTGGGATTTGTCCTCTATATAATTTGTATTGCTTTGTTTTCATTCATTGTGGCTTGTGAAAGTGTTTTAAAAAGAAAAATCTGTGTGACTTAGGAGGGAAAATCCCAGGAACAGCTAAACTGAGTGATGCTCCTGAATCACAGAGACACTAGGAAAACCCCAACTCTTAATTCCTAGCTATGTTTTTATAGTAAAACCTGAAAACATTTGCTGTGTAGTTGGGATGTAGGAATCATTTTAAACTTCCTGAATACTGATAAAAAAATCGATATATAATTACTATTTTCTTAACTATATAGCAAGAAATCCAGGTAAATAACATGTATGGTTAGGTATCATGCTGTATATAATTTCTTCTGATGAAATACATTTATATTAATGCATCCCCTTGTATTTACTGCATGACATAACTGAGGAATAAAGTTAATCCTTTTACTTAATACTTTATTCACACTTCCCTGAAATGTTTGAGAGAGTAAACTAGTCTTATAGCTTACGTTTAAGTATATATGTTCTTTTGCTAGAATGGTATATATTCGCTGCACAATTTTTTATGAGTTGCTAATTTCTTTGTAGTTCAGTCTCCTGGCTGGAAGATAATCACATGTCTTCATACAGGGATGCTGTGAAGCATAGCTGATGTCTCTAGAAATCTGGAGAGCCCTTGGCTGAGGGTCTTACAAGCATGGTTTACAAGCTGTTAGACCATAATCTCAGATCCCTACAATATTTCGTTGCTGTAAGATCAAAAGACTGGAGCAATGACCAGAATACTAAAAGGGAAGGACAGATCAATTATTGAATAATCCTTGTTAACTCATTAATGATCTAGTCCTAAGGCTGATGGGTCAAGGGCTGCAAAATTTCTGCCCCTAGTTCCCCTGTCACCACCATCTGCCAGAAAGCAGTCACATTTCTGCGTGGGAGAGGTCTGCTCCTGAGGCAGAAGGTTTCAGCTCTTGTCTGCTCTCACGCATCAGAACAAAAATTCTGGCTGTGTGCTACCACTAGATGGCAAGCACAGACCAGTCAATAAATTACCTGAGTCCTCCCAGGAGCTGCTTCACATCATAACTAATCTTCAGTTCTATTTTGCGGTGCACACAGCCTTCACCTGCCTAGGAATTGCAAAACCCAGATCAAATAAAGCAACTTTAATCTGAAGTCTCAGGTGAAGCCTGAATTAGATGAATCATCAGCGAGGCTGAGCGTAACTCCTGTGTTCCTGCAAAGCAATTCCAGTTGTTCGATTTTAAGTGGTTTTAAAGGAGTCACCATCTAAGCACATCACTGTGATCTCTGCCTTTCTCTAGGGCTGTTTGTCGTGCTCTTTTGTCACGTCTCTGTTAGTTCTTACATTCATTCTAGACTATGTTACTACATTTTCTATCTTTCCCCTCGAACAGAGTAGCTTTATCTCACCTTCTTCCATGCAAATACCAGCTCTGACCACTTCATTGTCTCTCGGACTGGTTTCATTTTAAGTAGAGTGAATAGGGCCATCCAGATCATCAAATAAAGCTTTAATCTTCCTTCCAGATCAACTCTCCAGCTAATTCTGGTATCAGAAAAAATCCATTTCACTAGGTAAGCTCACAAATTCCACTTCATCTTTTAAGGGCTTATAAAGATGGCTAAAGGAAGCCTGTTTCTTCTTCCTCTGCTTCTGTGGGATGGGTTCCATGTCATTCTTCAGCTAGAACTGGTGCTCTTTGGCTGATTCCCAGCATTTGTATTCAACTAAAGCAGAGCTAGCTGATATCTAGTGCCAAGAAGGGGCCATATGCTCCATTACAAACAGTTAGCACACATTTGGAAGTTTAAAAAATAAATAATAGCCTTATTTAGTTATATTTAATCAGCACTTACTTAGCCCTTTCTGTTTCTTAACATTGCTATTGAAATAATTTAATTTGGCTGCAACATTAAATTGATTTTGAGTATTGAAATTGAAGTTTATTCATAAAAGTGAATTAAGGCAGCACTCTGGCAGGGAGCAAAAGCTTTAAACATGCTAATGGACAGATTCTATTCCCAGCAGCACTGATGAAACCCCACTGACTTAAATGGTTCTGTTTCAGGACCAGAGACTTGATTTTGGTCTGAGAAGCTTAAGAGGTTTTCACAACAGGACTTCTCTCAAAAAATACTGTTTCATCCAAATGCAGAATATTTTATGGAAGCAGGTCTTAGTTTAACCACTCTTGAAGCAATGGTGAGTCACAAAGTTCTGAACATTTTAGAAACATAAATTTTTAAGAAACGTAGATTTTTGGACCAGGAATGAAAATCAGATTGTTTAACATAGTGTGACCTCTAATTCTCTGATCAATGCTAAACCTGGCCTTTCTCAAACAACTGCTTTCAAACTTCTCTTTCTTGTTTTTCTCTAGCATATATTGACAATACTACATCATCACAGGTTTTAAAATACAAGAAAAAGCATGAAGTTACCCTCTTTCTGCCTACCTATCTGCTCAAGCTTGTGACAGGAGGTAGGAGAGCCGGCTTACCCAGGAGAGAGGTCTAACAGCTGCTCATTGCTGTGTTCCTGAGGTGCCTCTAAGGGACAGCTTCTCTACTTTGAGATCTCTGGGGAATGTCTTTGAGACCAATTTAATATTACTTACAAAGATATTATTTTTTTAAGGGAATTTTAGTTAACTCCAAAATGAACTTGATACATAAGAGATTCTAAATTTTTGCTGCATAATCTTAATCAGAAAGCTATACTCTGATGTCCATCATACTCTTCTGTTAGACCCTTCCACTCCCTCCCTTCCTCCCTAGATAATTTTATTTATTCAAAATATAAGCTTGGGTAGCATTTAAACTCATATATGTACAGGAATAAAGGCCACCAAGGTGCAAAAAAGATGCCTACAATCCTCAAGCATTTTCCTGAAGAGTCAAACTTGCATGACCAGAGATTTTTCCAAGTGTTTTTTAGTGTCAGTGACACCAGCTCTAAGATGGAAGAAGGTGGAAGTGTCATGGTCAAGTCTTTCTGAAAGAACTGAATTCCCTTTAGTATTATTTCTCAACACTTCGAATTTCTTCTTTTAATCACTTTAAAAAAATTCCAAGGACCATGTTAATTATTTTGGAAATATTCCTGTGTTGTATGGCCCACTTGTGGTCCACAGACTTTGAGCGGACTGTATCAGTGCAAAGAAGTAGATGGCTCCAGAGAGCAGCAGAGAGGGAAAATATCCAAGTAATTGAAGTACATGCTTCTTTCCACTGACTAGGGAATTTAAGGTCCTTATGAGGATAATTAGTTAATTTAAAAGAAAAAAAAAGCTGACTGTCTTGTCTCTTCCATTGAGCAGCATGTAATAAATCCTTCAAGATCTAATCTGCTCTTTCCTAAGTAGGGGCACATAGTATATTCTGCTTGTGTTATTCTGCCTTTTCCTGCAAAAGCTCTGAACAAAGCAGGATTTACTTAAAAAGAAAATAAAGTTATAGTAGTTTTGTTAAATTGTAGGCTTTGTTTGCTGGAGTTGTTTCTAGCTGAAAATGAAGTGCAAATTTTAATCATCATAATAATGTGACCAGGGTAATTTATTTGTAAATTTGATCACAATGTTTTGTGTAGCCACTATTAGTTTTAATTTAATTTATTACTTAATAAGATTAAGAAATGCTTAGAAATCACAGTTGCAAGAATAAAGAGAAAAAGGCTTTTTGAAAGGATAGTTCTTCAGAGCTTTCTCGAAGGTGAGGTTTCCGGACACTAGTAGACTCTGGATTCACAAGCAGGCCTTTCATTTCTGCAGTTAACACCACTTCTTCGCTTGTGTCTGGGTAGGCCTGTGGTGGCCCTATTGAAGTTTTAGCAAGGCAGGTTGGAAAGCAGCCTGCCAAAAACAATGAATGTTACTTGAGTGTTATTTATTCTCTGTGTGACCTGACAGTACACAAAATGCAGGCTGAATGGAGATAGGAGTATCTGTGCATAGTGATGTGCAAATAACCTTAAATGATTAATTTCTGCATCCTGAAAAAAGAGTCTGTGGAGAGCACTGGCTGTACTTTGTATGAAGTATTATCAAAACCAAATGCATGCCCATTAAATTGCACCTAAGATCCATGAAATAAAAAAGGTCCCCAAACTTCAAGATTTTAATACAAACATTCATTTTTTAATTTTCCTACCCTGCTCTGTCTGATTAGAGATGATGTATGTACAACTGGGTCATTGGATCACTTCTGCCCTGGGAACTCTTGTCCCTGAGGATTTGGCCTTATTCTGTGCATGCATGAATAAAATGAGATCTGGATTTAAACAGAATTGAGGCAGCTGCAGTTGTTAATAGGAGACTTAGAAACCAGGGTTGGCTCTTTTAGCTTTAAAGGACAAATTTGATCTTGAAGTTAATGATAGTGGGAAATCTCACTTTAATGTCAACAGTCAATGGTTAGAGGTTTGGGGCTTTTTTTTTAATTGGGAGTTGTGTTGTGTCCTATAATACTCATTTGGCTGAGATTTAAAGCAAAACTTGCAGTTCTCTACAGCATGTAGCAAATGGACCACAATTCAGGTCTACGAATATGTTATCAAATAAAGATAGATGCAGTAGGTGGAAATTTGTTGAACAGGGATGGCAGGAAAACCAGTTGCCATTGCTCTCCTTCACTTGCAGCAAACACAATTTGTTATCTTTACACAACATTTTCTGTCAAAACTTGCACAAACAGTGGGTGCTTCATGTTTATTTTCCGATAAATCTTTGCTTGAATGTCACTGCAACATACCTGGAACTAAAAACCAGTTTGTGAAAAGCACACATAAATCCATTAATTCCAGAGAACCACATCAGCATTTTAATCAAAGCAGAGCAAAGAACAGCTCCTGTCCACACAGCCAGGATTACCAAGGATACTGTAACGTCTTTATTCTAATTTATTCTGCAATCAAATATTTACCAGGCTTAACTGAAGATCAGAATGCTTTTTAAAAATGCACAGAAACAATCCATAACATATCTAGGGCTAAATCTCCACTTAGTGTTTGGTTCAGACTTGAGCCCATTACCTTCTGAATTTAGTAATTTTGCCTCTAACAGGCAGTGACATTTGTAGGAAGGCAGCAACTAACTGCTATGAAGTAGCAAGCAACAGCTTCGTAACAATGTCTTACAGGTAGCTGGTTACATGAGGCCCCCTGCTCCTTCCCCCCATCGCTCCTCTCCCAGGTGTGAGGAGCGCTCCTGCAGTGCTCCCCCAGTGGGATTTTCCAGCACTGCCTGCTTGAATCAAACAGCTTCATTACCAAGAAATATGTCAATAAGACAAAACACCAGTCAAACATACTTTTGAAAACATTCTCGAGTCCTTTGCCAAGTGTCAGAGTGTCTTTCTGCTCTCTAAACCTTTAATTTTCTTTTCTTTGCTCATCATTTTGGAAAACCTTTCCAGTGCAATAAGAATCAAGAACCCAGACCTCACTATATCAAGAAGAGATGACTGTGACATGGCTTTTGACATCAGCTCTGCGGCACCAGCACCGAACCTGTGGGGTGTGGCCATCACATGTGGGTAGGACCTGACAGGGACAAGCCAGTCCCCGTGCTGCTAGATGGGGACCTGACACTGCGACAACATAAATTAGTGGGACATAATTAATAGATTTAACCACCCAAGGAAGGAAACTGCCTCATGGTCTGTCCAAGCAAAAACTGATGTTAAGTTTTTGTGCAACTATAATTCTCAAGATTATCTTGTATGTTTGGATAGAGCTACAGCTAAAATAAAATAGACCATCCCTCTTCAGGCCACAGATCTCGGTCAATAGTACTAAAAAGAATTGCATTGGCTAGTTATCTTTAACTATGAAGGCCACAGCAGCAACAAGAAGTAGTTGAAAATTATTCCAAAATTAAAATTCAGGTCCGGAGCTGGGTATCGTTATTGCAGGTAATTAGTGTAATCAGTACAGCCTATGTGCAACAAACAATTCAGAAATACCAGATAATTTGATGTGCAATATTTTCTTTGATGAAAGCAGCGAGACAATCTTACAATTGATAGTTTCTATCCTTGGCTTTGTTTTCTGCTCTGACATTTGGGAACCCACTGCTCCCTACGGCAACTCTTTTTGTCTCAGATCAATACACATTTTATGTTTCATGAAGACTGGCCTGTATACAGTTACCTCTGCTGAATCCCCAAGGAAAAAATAGTCTTTTAACGTGTCTTGAAAGTTAGTCTTCTGATTGACCAACCCTGCCAAAATAATATACAGAAATTCTCACTGGGTGGAGTTACTGGTTTACCAACACAAGGACCACTGGGACAAACTGTTGGCTCCCAGTAAGTATCCCAGCCACTGCTTAGTCCTCACTGTGACTTTTAACACAAGCTCTCCCTGAGAGGGGTCCAGAGCTGTGCTGTTCCCCAGACGAACCCCAGACTGACCGGTTCGCCAGGACTGATCAGATCCTGGGCCTGCCCCGTGCGAAGCTGTCAGGGTCCTATCCCCTTCCTTTTCACAGGCGATTTTTGTTGCACGGCTGCACGCTGCGCCAATCCACTGTGGCTATGACCTTTTGCTGAATTTGGGGTATTTGCCTTGATTTATTGGAGCGTATACTTTTTGATCTGTATGTTCCCTCCTTTGATTTGCAGTGTTTCAGCCAGAAGAATGGGGGTCATAAAGACATTACAGGGGGTGCTTGATGCTCTCCGGACTTGAAAAAGTGCATATTTCTTCTTTGACCCTCCTTAAGTGTGTTGGAGAAGGAGAATCCAAGAGGATGATAAATCTAGACACACTGTGGAATGAAATGCCGCTGCTCAGCATGTAGATGGCTACTCACAGTTCAGAATAAATAGCTATTGCTGTCTCACGGTGGACAGAAGAATACACTTCAGTTTTTCTTTGTCAGCTCCAGTACAACTCTTGTGTCAGCAGACTGATGTCTTCATCAGCTGTTCCTCTGTGCTCTGTAATAGCACTAATAGCCCTAAGGATTATTGCAATAGGTATTTAATAAAGAATGGTCTAATCTCTATTGTTGATGCTCTGCTACAGAGACGAATGAGACCTGTTAATTCTAAAGGAGCATTTTATTTTAAGTCTTACTTAAGGCAAAAAAAAAGAGAGCAGAACTAAGTAAAAGCAGTAATTTACTGCTGTTTATCTCAAAGTGAGAAAGTTGCTCATTCTTACCACTAATGTTTAAAAATTTGAAACTGGAATTCTTTCCCCAAATAAATCCAGAGCTACAAAATCTAGCCCTGGTCCTACACAACTCTTAAAAACACAGCTCAAAAAGCCTGTCAGCTCTAACTGTTGACACACTTCTAAAATCACCTTGCATTGAAGTTTTCTGTTTTGACATTTGCAGCAGGCTGTCCTGCAAGGATACAGCTGACCCACCGTGCCAGCGAAGCAGCCGAGGTTTGGGGGTCCTACTTCCCAAGCCCGTTCCCTTCCATCCAGCTGCTCTCCTTTGGGAGGAGGGAAGCCCAACGACGAGTTACTGTCCGACCCTCTGAGACATCAGCTGCCTTCCTTGAGAGGCCGAGACCCAGCCGCTGACTTCTGAGTCCCCTTTTTCTATCACACTTAAAGGTCTTCACAGTAGCATCTGTTTTCATTACGGAAATTACTGTTTGTTTGATTCCATGAAGGATTTGGTTTTCTTGCCCATTTTGTGGAAGACAATCATCTCACGCTAAGTTAATGAACACGGTAAAATCCTAAGATAAATGATGTTGATTGCAAATGTTTCAATAAAAACTATTAACTAAACCCGCCTGTAATTGACACACTCAATATAAAATTCATAGGTCCTAGTACTATACAGTGGGTTAGAGAAACAGAGAAACAAGATCACCAAAAAGAAATTTGCTTTCAAATTACTCCATAGAGCAAATTGTAATACTGTTTAAGCCAGAGACAAAATTACAGTGGCTTCTTTGGGAATTAAGCCCACCTGATTTTTATTTGCAGTTTGGTAATACAGTTGACAAAAGACAAAATAAAAACCTTGAAATGTTTAATATTAGAAAATTAAGATTGCTTTTTTCATCTTGATAATTTTCTCAGGACAGATGTTCACCTGGGATGTAGCTGTGCACACTCAGAGAATACAAATAATATACCCAAATTGTGCCATTGTCTAAATCAGGGTTATTTTTTCTTTTTTGTTCTTTATCTTGCTTCAGATGTCACTGAACTTTAGTAGTTTTTCATCATGGGAGCTCTTGCTGTATTAAAAATAATGATACTAAATTTTAGTATATAACTATGAATATCTGAAAATATAAGATAATATTTTATAAGATAAAAGCCACAAAATGAACAAAGACAGTCCACCAGGAAATCATATTTACAAAAATCCTATTCCCTTTGCTTTTGGTCTTCGCTAGAATTCATCTTTCATCTTTTACCACTGGTTTAAATGAAGTCAGGCTCAGTATGAATAATGAAAATAAAAAAAGGAAAATTTGTGGAAATGTCTTCTGGTAGCATCAATTACTTCGTAATTTCACCCAGAGAGTGATCAATGGCTGATGTAGGAACCATATCGCACTCATTACAGAGAAAAAAGCAACAGAGATACTGGGAGCACTGTTCGTTCTGTTATAGATGGTTAATTAATACCATCCATCACAGTCCCAAGTCAACAAAAACTTAACTAGGTTTTAAGGCCAGCGGGGATAACTGTAACCGTCTAAAATGGCTTTTCCCACAGCGCAGCCTACAGAATGCTCTTTGGTGCCATCTGAATCAAGACAGAGCTGGGGATGAGCGGAGGCACAGTCTTTAAGAAATGCATTCAGCCTTGGCTTCAGACTGCAAATGATGGCAAATCTATTACAACCCAAAATCAATTGCATCAGGCATTAATCATCCTCACTGTTAAAAATGTGCACCTTACCTCTACCCTGATTTCTCATAGACTCAGTTTCCAGCCACTGTGGTTTTTATAACCTTACCTGAAAGATTAAAAGCTATCTATTATCAGAAAACTTTTCCTCCTGTAAGACATCGCCAGCTGTTTCTAACCCTCCTGTTGCCTTCTGCCCAGCTTAAGAAAGTTTCCCAGACGTAATTCCTGTATTGCTTTTCTAATAATTTTCCAGTTGCTCATATTTTTTTTTATTTGAAATGCAAACAGCACAACCCAGCCTAGTCTGCAAGGATTTTTCTGTGCTGGATAAATCGATTATACCAGTTCTCTCCCTTGCTTCCTCAGTATATCTATGTATATACAGCCGCACCTTTGTCCATCCCTGTGCAGTAAAGCATTTTGGCTTTGGCAGGGGGGTTGGACTAGATGACCCACAGAGGTCCCTTCCAACCCCTAACATTCTGTGATTCTGTGAATACAACTGATGGACCTTAAGCATACGTTCAGCCCTGCTCCTAAATATAGCTCCACTTGAGCATACTTCTACAGTTAAGAACATATCCAGCTACTTCGCTAAATTGGCCTAATGCACAGTGACTTCCAGCCTCCTCCACCTCTATCGCTACCTCTTGTCGCCTGTTTTAGAGCCCAGCCATAATGGGAGGGTTTTGCTGGGGTGGGTTTATAACCCAAACCTCTGCGGTACATCTGTGTCTATATTTTTTTACTTCCTTTTGGTGTTAATTATATTTTATCTCTTTATGTCAAGTATCTCTTAGATGAGAGAATCTGTGAATGCCTGAGTGACGTCTATTTTTAAATAAATATCATTCGGCAGAACGGTGGGTCCGTGTATTTTGAAAAGGAAATAGAGTGCACGGCAATGAAAGGAAAGAGCTAGTAAAACATACATTTCTAAAATCAGGAACTGCAAAGATTTTTTTCACTTAAATTCCATTACTTCCAATCTGCCAGTGGTGAGAGAGAAGTGCAATTTTAACAGGTGAATAAAAAAAAGAAAAATGATACAAAGCTCTGAAGGAAAAGCACAAAAGCCATTACAAAGATGATTTCAGAATGAAAAAAATCCTCCCCAAATCTCTCAGCAAGTGACAGTTGTGGTTTTAATGGACTATTCTTGAAATGAGATTTATATGCAAACTGCCTACAGAAAGTAAAAAAAGGATGCTAATAACCTATAAATGTTAAAGGTTTTTATCTCAGGCTCAAAAAATGTTGATGGCAGTGGATGGAATTTTATAACATACCATGAACGTCCCCATTACATGATTGCTGCTCTGGCCTGGTGCTGCTATGAATGACCTGCTCCACGCGCCGCAGCAAAGCAGTCATCCCGTTGCCCGCTCCTGCCCCACCTCTTCCCAGCCCACTGGAGTCTACTAGCGTGGGGGTTTCAGTCTCGCATGCCACCCCACCACAGAACGATATTATTTTTACTACCATTGAAAATGTTCCTGATCTCCTAATGCATTCCTTTGATTTGAAAGGAAGTTGTAAGCGTGCACGAAATGTTGGATCAACATTGAAGACTGTATCACCAGTGCACCTATAGGTACAGGTGCATCTTTGGCTGATGAAACTTCCCCCAGCTCAGTGATAGGTCTTTTTCCACACAGATCTCTGGTGAGCAACTTCAGTTCACACCAGATGAAATTCAAGAACATTTGCTAAAGATGTAATAGCTGGGAGAGGATATTATATCCTCTAAATCCTGAGTTACGCAGGAGCCAGACAGCCAAATGCAACTCCTGGCCGATAAACAAGATACTCTGGAAACTCCTCTCTGCTTTGGGTCTGCCTATTGCAGGCAGTAGTGTAGAAAGCATAGTAAAATTTCATTCTTTTGAATTTAAAATAGTAAAATCTCAAGTGAGCTCTGACAATTTCTGTTTCAATGGGTTAAGGCGTCTTTCCCGGCTGCTCGCACCTCCTCCCTGCCTGACTCCACCACGCACAGCAGAGCTGGCGGGAGATAACGCCCACCCGCCCCTCCGCTGCTCCCAGCCACAGCCCGACGTCTTCCCGTTCCAGCACCGGTGCTGCTCTGTGCCAAGCCCCCAGCGCCTGCGTGGTGCCGCGGAGTTGTGGGCAGCTGATGGTGGTTTTGGGCTGCTGTGATTATTATGCAGATACCTGCACATATGTTTACTTAAATAGCTAATGCGTACGGACTGCATGCACGTAAATACATACATGCACATCGATACCATATTATACATATAATTTGTGCTGATGGATTTGCACGTATATGCACACACCCCTATGTCGGTGAAGCAATGAGCATAAGCTAAACAAGCAAATCAGATAACTGCTTTTTTTCACAGAAAATATCCGCATTTCTGGACCAGCAGCTTCAACAGGCACGTGTACAAGTACTTGTGCAACTTGGTCCTTCGTTTATACAAATTGTAGGAGGCATTGCTTAGGAAAGCAGAGTTTGTGCAAGCAACACATTGCCTCAGCATCACAGCTTTAGTCATGCTGTTTAGAATTCAGTGGTGACAAAAGCTAAATTCTCCCTCCAATATTAAATATAACTTAGCTTAAATGTGGAAAAGTAGTGCCAATTTCTTAAGCAAGAGCTAAAGCGAAGCTCCAGGTTTTCTTGTGACAATTTTAGAAAATTGCCTAAAAGGTTGCAGAGTTTATTTATTTAATTTTTTTTTTACTCTGTATTTAGTAGCTCTAACACTTAATCTTCCTTCGTGTCACTGCAGATCCAGCAAGGTATAGTGAGTTTTGTCCTTTCCCATCCGTCTGCAGAAGCAGCAGAAGGCCCCTGGAGAGTGGCTTTCTCAGCCCTCCCAGTGCCAAAAGAGGCTGTTGAGTCAACAACGGGTTTGATCTCTGTCAACGGTTTTTAAAAAGAATTAAAAGTTTTGGAGAAACTAAATCCGTAGTATTTTGAACAAAAATCACTAAAGCACGTTCTCCGCCACCCAGGCATGACGCTAGTGTGCGGCGAGTCCAACAGCACAGCGTTCACACCTGCGCTGCTCAGGGTTGTAGCTCCGCTTGCCAGCTGCGCTGGAGCCCCACCGAGAGGAATGATTCATCCCGCGAAAAGAGCTGAGAAGGGAGAAAATCGGATTTCGGGTGCCAGGTTCTGCTTGCCGGCCGCACATCTCAGCCGCCCAGCAGAACCTGACGGAACCATTCCCGATGGAGGCTACGTTTTCCCACCCCGACGGAAGAAAC